TAAAGTCTTCCAAGTCAAATCTCAGTTCATATGCCTTTCTCATAGTAAGAAGATGGATGTTCTCCAGACCTGTATTTCAAATCATGCAGAAGTAACACCTTAAATATATGTATAATTCTGGCAACTATAATTTTATTTATTCATTTTTTTCAAAGGTATTGCATTGTTAGATACAACATTAAATTCAGAAGTTGTGTATTGGAAACTTTGTTTTTGAATGTACAGAAGGATTTCCTTTACATAGTAGGAGTAAAAAAATGTTGTAAATCACAACAATTTGCCCCTGCAGGTCAATAATGTTTTATCTAGTTTGTGATCGAAATAAGCTTTACCTTTAGAGTCAAAACAGTGTAATTTTAGAGAAGCACTCATCGACCGGCCTGTGATTGGATCAACTGGTTGTCAGCATGATCGGATCTGACTGATATTTACCTTTATTGGTGGTTTTGGTTTGTGCATGCATTCTGTGTCAGAACAGCAGAGGGAGCTCACACCCATAAGCATAAGCTAATGCCATTAGATTGGAAATATTCGCTATTTACAATATATCTTACAGCAGTGGTTCACAATTATACTGTCTTGTGCCCCCTAGGGCACAGAAAACTTTTACCCCACCCTCAAATGGAAATAATATTGGGAACCTGATAATATGTATTTTCCTATCTGTACAATCCCCTCCAGTTTTGGTCTGCAGACCTTTTGCACATAAAGTTGGATACAAAGGAACCTATTTTAATTTAGCTCATTCCATTCAGTAAGCACATTATTTTGAAAGTTGTTAAACTGAATAGAGAATAGGCCATTGTAATCAGTGCATCTTTATGTCATATGTGTGTTACTTAAGAAAAGACATAGTTGACGTATACAAAATTGGCATTAAAATGTGTCATAAAAGAAGACATATTTTTAGCCAGTAATCTCTGGTCTTACCCAGCCAATATTCTCCAGTTGCTTTTCCAAATCCTGCCTTGAAATAGGCCCATGGCGCATAGAAGTTCACAGATCCATCAAATCTTTTCTGCAGGACCTAAATAGAAAGTTATGCTTGAGAAATTGCACAACCATCTAATCAATTACTTATGATTTTGATGTAATGTTTGAGTATTTATTCTGAAGGTATTTAATGCCAATCTGATCATAAGCCCATCAGTTTGATCAAGACTAAGATTAAGGTTTTAAATAAAATTTTACTCTGAAGTTTATAACTATGCCCCAAATCTGTAATGTGGGACTTGTATTGAGGTCTCAGGCTTCAGGTTCGAGTCCACCACCTGCAAAGTTACCACTGAGGTGCTCTGAGCATGGCACCGTCCCCACACACTGCTCCCCGGCCGCTTAAAACTTGCCCACTGTTCACTTTGGTGATTGGTTAAAAGCAGAGGTCAGGCAGAGGTTTGGTTGTGTGTGCAGTGGTGTGCTGTGTCACAATAACAAGTAGTTGACTTTCCTTTCCTTAAATACTTACAGTCCATTGGCCATCAGGATCCATTTCACAGTACACCTGAACAGGAGACACCGGTCCTGCTGGGTAAATGGTGTAAACACCACTGTCGCCAAAGCCCCTGACATACACGTCATTGCAGTCAACAGGATAAAATACTGATGTGCAAAAGCACGCTGGGATCAACAGGAGTAGAACAATAAAAACCTGGAAACGAGATGTAGAAAGGTGAAGTTGGTTCTTTGGTTTTTGATAACAATTACATACCTGTGTAAATTAGCTGGATCAGAAAGACTAAGCTTACCATGTTTGGTTGGAGTTCAACTTGACCCTCACAGTTGTCTCTGCCTGTTGTTTACACCTGGAGTCTGAGCTCGAGGTTATTACTTGAACAGACAGCTGCTACCTTTTATATAGAAAAAGGAACACCTGCTAGAAATGGAAGGTGTGGTGCTTTTGTGACCTCATTGTACTTTGCTTCCTTTAGGCTAATGAAAATAAATACAAAGTATTTTGTGGTCACATTCCTTGTGTGTGTGTGTGTGTGTGTGTGCGTGTGTGTTTTAAATTGTTAGATCACAGCAAAATAAAATTGTAGTTAGAGCAAAAACAGTAAAAAATAAAAAGTGTTTTTTTTTTATATTGCACTAAAAGATGTGCTAAATTTTAGGGTTCGTGTGGGTTTTACCAACCAACGATGCTGCTTGTGGTGAAACACCAGACAGCGCCAACTAGAAAATTCCAATTAATTGAAACTATTTGCCACGAATATTTTCCACATACGTCACTCAAACTTGCTATCTCAAACAAATGGGGTCCTCAACCACTGGGGCAGGGAATAGGACAGGCCCATGGATAATTTGGTACTGGGGCACTGAAAGAATTGTGTTGAATGAAACTGGTCATTGGTGCAAAAGGTTGCTGACCACTGAAACAACATACTCCTACTGAAGTTTTTTTTAATCTGATCAGCTCAAAATTTGGGGGAGGTCTGCAGGAGGTCTGCAGTGTTTGTGGCTAAAGGGAGCTTAGGAAGAGGAACAAAATGTACAGCTATAGAGAATTGGTCAACCAGAGTGAGAATAGTGGTATTACTTGAGGTTAGGGCAGGCCCATGACGAAATCCAGGGCGATATGAGACCAGGTTTGTCAAGGCATCTCAAGTGTCTGGAGCAGTCCATATGGGGGTGGGTGCGACAGTTTGTTTTGTATACAAACAAGTGTTCTGCGACATAGAGGGCCACCAGAATTGATGGTGGATGAAGCTTAGCGTACAGTGGTACCCTGGATGAGAGGACGCATCTAGTTTGATCTTCTGGCAGCAACGGTGATAAGTTAGGGAAAACCGGAACCTCTTTAGGAATTGCGCCCATTGGGCTTGCCTTGAGTTGAGGTACTTGGTGGTACTGAGGTAAGCAAGGTTCTTATGACCTGTTCATATAAGAAAAGGATGCTTTGCTCCCTCCAGCTAGGGCCCACATACAGCCTGACTAGTTGTCAAGGGGACAGACTAGTACAATCATATGGTAATGTAAAAATAAGTCCAGGTTTTTCACCTTTTGTATTCAAATAAGTACAAGTATATTAGAAACTATTCATATTTAATGAAATATCATTTGACAAGTGAAGTGTTTGTGCATTTTTTCACTTTCAAAATGTATCAAACCGGCTGGATTGAACCCCCTAGCGGGCCAGTTTGACACCCCGGGTTTAAGTGTTTCGGGTAACAATCAGAAAAACACATGGTGAAAAAATAACAGAAACAGTTTATATGGAAACAGGTACAACTTCTTTATTCATTGATTGACATTACTCTCATGTCATGAGCTTTTTTGTTTTTGTTTATGAAAACAAAATGCTCTTTTGAATAAGAAGTCTACGTGCCTGTCTTAAGGAGTGTTTGCCACCACAGGTTTGATTTTCATTGAAATAGCTTTGAGAGAATATTCATATCCTCTCCAAGAGTTCCAGTTGATCCCAGTGCCAAATTCTGAGGGGCCCCATGCATATATTCCATTGGGGTTAGATGTGTGGCAAGATCCATACCACCATCCTCCTTTGTACTTAAAAGCACAGTTTGAACCCCAGTTGTCGTTATCCCGATCCCACGTTGTAAATTTCTTACCATTGTGATACCCGAGTGAATCTCCTGAAATTAAAAAAAAGACAAGGACAATTTAAAGACACAAAAAGCCATTTACTGCCATTTTGTATCTAATACCAGTGTCTAATGTACACAGAAATTCACTCTACCTTAAAACCTAAAAAAAAGCCCTGAACCCACCATTAACTTATCCAACTGTTAATACTCACCAGCCCCTCCATTTGTGAAGCCACCAACTCCAAGCTCATAGTCTTCACTTTCTGAACCCACGGAGAAGGAGGAATAAGTAGCATAGACTTTGTTTCCAATAAAGTCTTCCAAGTCAAATCTCAGTTCATATGCCTTTCTCATAGTAAGAAGATGGATGTTCTCCAGACCTGTATTTCAAATCATGCAGAAGTAACACCTTAAATATATGTATAATTCTGGCAACTATAATTTTATTTATTCATTTTTTTCAAATGTATTGCATTGTTAGATACAACATTAAATTCAGAAGTTGTGTATTGGAAACTTTGTTTTTGAATGTACAGAAGGATTTCCTTTACATAGTAGGAGTAAAAAAATGTTGTAAATCACAACAATTTGCCCCTGCAGGTCAATAATGTTTTATCTAGTTTGTGATCGAAATAAGCTTTACCTTTAGAGTCAAAACAGTGTAATTTTAGAGAAGCACTCATCGACCGGCCTGTGATTGGATCAACTGGTTGTCAGCATGATCGGATCTGACTGATATTTACCTTTATTGGTGGTTTTGGTTTGTGCATGCATTCTGTGTCAGAACAGCAGAGGGAGCTCACACCCTTAAGCATAAGCTAATGCCATTAGATTGGAAATATTCGCTATTTACAATATATCTTACAGCAGTGGTTCACAATTATACTGTCTTGTGCCCCCTAGGGCACAGAAAACTTTTACCCCTCCCTCAAATGGAAATACTATTGGGAACCTGATAATATGTATTTTCCTATCTGTACAATCCCCTCCAATTTTGGTCTGCAGGTCTTTTGCACATAAAGTTGGATACAAAGGAACCTATTTTAATTTAGCTCATTCCATTCAGTAAGCACATTATTTTGAAAGTTGTTAAACTGAAAAGAGAATAGGCCATTGTAATCAGTGCATCTTTATGTCATATGTGTGTTACTTAAGAAAAGACATAGTTGACGTATACAAAATTGGCATTAAAATGTGTCATAAAAGAAGACATATTTTTAGCCAGTAATCTCTGGTCTTACCCAGCCAATATTCTCCAGTTGCTTTTCCAAATCCTGCCTTGAAATAGGCCCATGGCGCATAGAAGTTCACAGATCCATCAAATCTTTTCTGCAGGACCTTCAATAAAATGTATGTTTGGGAAATAGCACAACCATCAAATCAATTACTTATAATTTTATGTAATGTTTTATGAGAATTTATTCTGAAGTCGTTTAATGCCAATCAGACTATAAACTGATCAGTTTGATCAAGACTGAGATCAAGGTTTTAAATTAAAATATTACTCTGAAGTTAATACTTAGTCCACAAATCTTTACCCTGGTGCTGAAAGTTGTGCCAGAGAGGACATAAGAAGGGCGTAAAGACTAGAACAAAGCACGAAGACTTCTTCTGTGGAGATTCCTGATTAATGGACGTGGCCGAGTGATTGTTTTCATACTGTGCTGATCTGCCTTATAAAGCAGTGATTTCCAACTACTGTTAAGTGAAATTAGTCCAGTTTCACTCAACTGGTCAAAAAAAAACATTATTATTTTCTGCAAAGAATGAGGACGAACAATTACATACTTCTCCACTTGGTGGTACCAAGCTGTAAAAACTAAGAAAGTCTTTGTGTATCTCTGTCTTTAATTCTCCTCCTCTTTTCCTTTCCTCAGCTCTTGAAAATCCTCCTCTTTTCCTTTCCTCAGCTCTTCGCTCCTGTCTCTCTCCTTTCATAAACATACATTGCTAAGTCACTTTTACTGTCAAAGTCATTTTGGATCTATGTCATTAATTATTTCTATAGATTTTCCACGAAGTCATAATAAAATACTTACAGTCCATTGGCCATCAGGATCCATTTCACAGTACACCTGAACAGGAGACACCGGTCCTGCTGGGTAAATGGTGTAAACACCACTGTCGCCAAAGCCCCTGACATACACGTCATTGCAGTCAACAGGATAAAATACTGATGTGCAAAAGCACGCTGGGATCAACAGGAGTAGAACAATAAAAACCTGGAAACGAGATGTAGAAAGGTGAAGTTGGTTCTTTGGTTTTTGATAACAATTACATACCTGTGTAAATTAGCTGGATCAGAAAGACTAAGCTTACCATGTTTGGTTGGAGTTCAACTTGACCCTCACAGTTGTCTCTGCCTGTTGTTTACACCTGGAGTCTGAGCTCGAGGTTATTACTTGAACAGACAGCTGCTACCTCTTATATAGAAACAGGAACCTGCTAGAAATGGAAGATGTCATACGAGTGTGACCTAATTTTGCCACCAGTACAGTATAGAATAATTTGTGGTCACATTCCTTGTGTGTGTGTGTATGACTGTGTCTTAATTGTAGTTAGAACACACATTGTGGTTATAGCACAAACAAAACAAAGTTAATTAGTTTTCATTAGTTGAAGAGTCAGAGCTCCTGGGCACTAGAACAGGACTCTATCTGTGGACTTCAACCCCAGCTGTTTGAAAGACCCTAAGATGTTTTCTAGATAATCAGTCAAAACCATGATTTTCTGTGCGACTCCAAGAAGAGTATCATTTCATTGCCTTTGGTTTTTTTTCTTTTGTTTGTGAGTGACCTTTAGACCGCTGTTTGTACATTTATTTAGCAAAAAAACAAGCCTTCCCCGAGGAAGTAGATAGTAGGTTTCAAAAATATAATCGACGCTCATATTGTCACATGAATGAAAATCTAGGACAATGAACAGCGTCATTCAAATACCATCTGTAGTTCGCAGTTGCACAACAAGATGTACACAAGGTAAAAAACTATGTATGTATGTAATCACTGCCAAGAGAGTCACACAATTCACAAAAGGTACACTTCTCGTTATACATATTACATATTAGAGGAACAGATATAATTATTTTGATTAATATTATTTTTGAGATTGTGTATTTCGCTAAAACCCCTGTCTGCTGAGAGATTCGCAGATACAAAACGACATTGCACTCAGGTTCATGTGCGTTTTACCACACACCGATACTGTGTGGTAAAACACCAGTCAGTGGCAACTAGAAAATTAAATGTAATCGTATTTTGCTAGTGGTTTTGCACATGCGTTATAATTTGCCACAAATATTTAGTGGACAGAGAGCAATAAAAAAGGCTTTCTGATTTGTACGCTATGCTACATAGCTACAATGCATTGTATGCTACAATGAGAAGATGACTCATTAAGAAATGAATCACCCACATTTGCTATCTCAAAAGACTTTCCACACCTACGAGAAGAACTGTGGACCCCTGTCAGAGGTTATGTCCTGTGGGATTCCTTGAAGACGAACCACAGGTTGTACCAGGAGGTCTGCAGTTTTTGTGGCTAGGGGAGTTTAGGAAGAGGAACAAAGTGAACAGCTTTAGAGGACTGGTCACCCAGAGTGAGAATATTGGTATAACCTGAGGTTAGGGCAGACCGATGACGAAATCCAGGTCGATATGAGATCAGGGCCATCAGGGTGTCTCAAGTGTCTCACAGTCCTCTCCTTAAGAGAGCCAAAGCATCCTCAACCTTTGGAGACAAAACTAAGGGAATCTTGCTGAAAGTACGGAAGGTTAAGGGTCCAGCAACCTGGCTGTAGTTTCAGACAAAAATGTACAAATCCTAGGAAATTTCGCAGTTGTTTTCTGGTAGCCTTTTGACACGCATCAAGATGGAAGTTGCACTTTTCTGCTTTCACAAACAACTTAGTTTCTAGAAACTGCTGCAATACTCTCCGGACATGCAGCCCATGTTCTTCCTAGTTTCTGGTAAATATTTCGATCATCACCTAAATAGACAAACTTAGATAGTCCTTAGGACATCATTTACCAACACCGAACAATAGTGATGGGAAGGCCGACTGTTTTTACTGATTCGGATCTTTGACCCTCAAACAGTAAAATGAGCGAGTTGTGAACTAATCTTGAACGAATAATTTCATTCATTTTACAGCAAGTGGCGCTTTAGCCCTATTGTGGGCGTTGTAAAGAAAGCTGCGGTTCTCCTACGCTGACAAAGTCAACAAAGTACATAAACTGCCATAAGCAATTAAACTATGTGAAAACATAAAGACAAACACACCACAATGTGAAGATGAATGAGGGCAAAAGAGACCCGAGCTCTTTCACGCGACAAACGAAACGAATCTGCGAGAACGAGGCGAAAGATTAGTTCACAGAGAGTGATTCGTTCATAGTGAAAGAATAGTTCACAGAGAGTGATTCGTTCATAGCAAAAGATTAGTTCACAGCGAAAGAGTAGTTTGCAGAGAGTGATTTGTTTGCAGAGAGTGATTAGTTTGCAGAGGGTGATTAGTTTGCAGAGGGTGAGAGTAATTTGTGAGTGGTTCGTGAGTTCAATATGAACAAATCGAGTCACAAATCTTTCATATGACTCGGGAGTCACGGGTCACATGAAAGATTCGTTAATATTGAACGAATCGCTCGTGAACGACACATCACTACTGAACAAGTGTCCGGGCGTTAGTCAATCCAATTCAATCCGTGCAATACGGGAGCATGCGCACACACACACAAAGGCATGTGATCAGTCACCGGGTCACCTAGACCCAAAGGACAATAGAGCCATTGTCTTCATAAATTATGGTACAAGTGAACCTGTTTGCTTCATTCCTGGTAATGACGACTGTGATGACGACTGTGAGATGAAAACACATTTAATTATGGGTGTTGTTCTGATGTTCTGGGAAATGTAAAGAATTTGGAGTGTTTTAAAGGTCATGTCAATTAAAGCTACAATAATTGAGCAAGTAAAGTTGATCCATCAGTAATTAAGAAATGGAATGTCTTATAACATCCATGTGGAGGTGAAAGAACAGTTCATAATTATTAAAATAGTTCACTGATTAAAACGTGTTAAAAAGATATATGATGCGCCAATATATAAATGTAACACACATGATTTGATAATAGCCTTCCCTCTCTATATCGCAGTTCTCCTTTCGCTCCCTCTGTACATCGGATTTTTTTTTTTTTTCCCCCGGTTGCAGGTTTGAATCCATCTGCTGCCAAGTTACCACTGAGGTTCTCTGAGTGTGGCACCGTCCCAACACACTGCTGCCCGGGCGCTCAAAAAGCTGCTGTTTACTGTTGTTGTTCACTTTGGTGATGGGTTAAATGCAGAGGTCACATTTTGTTGTGTGCAGTGGTGTGTGTGTCACAATGTCACAATGACAAGGAGTTCACTTTCAAAAGGTTTGTTTACCTAGATGAGATCGTACACCGCTATTGGCTAATACATTGTGTACTCGGTGCATGCTCTTCTGTTCCGCCCGCTGACTGGCTCATGCATCGTAGCATTTCTCAGCATCTCCCCTTGTCTGTCGGCCACTCTCTCGTTCACTTCGCCCAGAGGATCCACAAGCTTGGCGCCTGCCATAGATAGATAGATAGATAGATAGATAGATAGATAGATGGATGGATAGATAGATAGATAGATAGATAGATAGATCTTTTTATGTGCTTCTGCACACTTGGTTGTACTTTGTATTGTTGTGGGTGTGGTGATCTTGGTGATATGCCAGTTTGAGAACAGACTATTAACTTGAGCTAATGACAATAATGATGAGATTATTTACAGGAATTAAAAAATTAAAAACAGGAAGCTTTCTTTCGCTGTTGGTAATTAAAGAGTGGAATGTCGTCCTTCTTCATATGATTTCGAAATAAATTTACCACCTAGGCGTGGGGGATTTGTTGTGGTGAAAGCCGTGGTGTCAGTATCGGTCTTGTAAGCCGATGATTGCGGGTTTTAACACTGTCCGTGCCTCAAATCAATTGAGACATTAGTCAACTTTTTCTTTTTTTTTTTTAAATTGAGACATCAGTCTCAGAGAGAGGTCACAACATCTAATGTTGGGAAAATGTGGTTATGAGATTACCTCGACATGTACTTAATCCGTTCCTGATGGCTGTTCCTGGACCCCAAATGACTACTTATTCAAACTTTTTCAACAGTATTTTGTGTACAGATTCACACCAATGAAAATAATTAGATCTGACGGGAAAAGATAAACACAACTGAATAAAGAATAAAGCTATGAATAGGAGAGACGATTTCATTCATCCTTATCGGTGCTGAGGAGTCGTGATTCTCGTTCTCTCTCGTTCACTTTCGCTCTGCGTCGCCATTCTACGACTCTACTGTGAATATAATTGTGTGGGAAAGGGTAATACAGTCTAGAGAGGGTTGATAACAGAGCATCTCGCCTCTACTTCGCGGATTTCCCCTTTTCGCGGTGCGTCAACTACCACGATAGGAGAGCGACCACTGTAATATGAAGTGTAATTATAAATAGATTCATTCAGGAGTTCATATAATGGTTAAAATTGCTAAAAGCCTACTAGAATTTATATTTGATTTGATTTGGTACATGTTGATAAAAATGTGTACTGGCCCTTTAGGGACTTATTTTACTTGACTTGTTTTTTACGACTTGCTGTCAGTGTCTGAGAGCTATGGAAGCAAACGTTTTTCTTACCATTTTCTGTGTAGCAAAACGTCGGAATAAAGCAAAAAAAAAAAAAAGGGGAAGAAAAAATTCTGAGTTGGGTCTTAGTCACACCCTTAGTTTTAGTCTTGGACCCTTAGTCGGACCCTCTTGACTAGTTTTATTTGTAGAACATAGCCCATGGGCACCTTGGGTAGTCCACCAGGGCTACCAGGTGACCCCTGGTATAAACACTGCCTGTGGAATGTATCTTTTTTGACAGACAGACAACAGAGTAAGCATTACAAAGGCTGAACACATTCCAAAATCGGGAGGTTTTACCCTCCCGTTGTCCTTCGCATTTTATACACAACCCACGTCCTAGCAACGGCTTTGCCTCTTGTCCCAGAATCAGAGTATGAGGTAAAGTTGGCACAAGCCTTGCAGTGGGTATATTAAAAGCCTAATATATAACCATACCTCATAAATACCAAAACAATTATTTGAGTTAGAGGTCAGGTCAGAGTACTTCTAGAGCTATTTTTGCTTTGAGGGTTCTTCTAGAGCAGTTTAGAGACGGTCAGAAGGAATTGCACTGTCTTTGTGAATTTGGAGAAAGCATATGATAGGGCACCTACTGTATAAGAAGGGACTGTGGTACTTTATGACAGGAGTCCCCAGCTGTAGGTCATTCGGTATTTGGCCACAGTGGAAAAAAAAGTACTTCCGTTTTCCTAATTTACTTCGTTCAAAAAGAATCCAGTCATATCCCCTTACTTTTTTAAGTAAAAGATAACCTGGCAATGTTTGAAAACGATACGTCATTCAGACTCTTATGCTAACAGAATAAAGTCTAAAAGATGTTTTATTTTGAAAAGTCAATGATCCTTTTAACAATAATGCAGTATTAAGGGACTGCAGTAACAGCTGATATCGGCTGACCGATCTTTGGTACAAGAAGACGGTGGGAACCATTGCTTTATGAGACAGTCAGGAGTGGCAGAGAAGTATGTGAGGACTTTTGATTCAAACTTTACAAATGTACTGTAATGTGACCTTAATGATTACAGCATATTTCCCCAAAATATTTCATGTATCTTTATAAATGTGAAGGATCCATAGCGTGCGGTTAGCACGCCGGCCTCGGAAGCAGAGAGCAGAGAGTCCTTGGTTGGATACCCAGAGGATCCATAGCGTGCGGTTAGCACGCCGGCCTCGGAAGCAGAGAGCAGAGAGTCCTTGGTTGGTTCAGCACTTTGGATTGTTGTGGGTGTGGTGAGCTTGGTGATATGCCAGTTTGAGAACAGACTGTATTAACTGTGAGATGAGATTAATTACAAGATTTAAAAACAGTAAGCTTTCTTTCTAACACTAGAATTTCCCAAATATGGGATAAATAAAGTTCCAATCATTATTATTACAATTTGGTGTTTTCAATAATCACAGAAAGTGTTGATGTATGACATCAATGTAAAAACCAAATTAGATAGATAAATAGATAGATCTATCTTTTTATGTGCTTCTGCTTGACTTGACTTGTTTTACGACTTGCTAGCACGTTCAGCACTTTGGATTGTTGTGGGTGTGGTGAGCTTGGTGATATGCCAGTTTGAGAACAGACTGTATTAACTGTGAGATGAGATTAATTACAAGATTTAAAAACAGTAAGCTTTCTTTCCTGTTGGTAATTAAAGAGTGGAATGTCGTCCTTCTTCTTATGATTTCGAAATAAATTTACCACCTAGGCGTGGGGGATTTGTTGTGGTGAAAGCCGTGGTGTCGGTGTCGGTCTTGTAAGCCGAAGATTGCGGGTCTTAACACTGTCCGTGCCTCAAATAAATTGAGACATTAGTCAAAATATATTTTTTTCTTAGCGGTTAAGGGTTTGAATCCACCAGCCACCAGGTTCCAGTGGGATGCACTGAGCTTGCCGCTGTCCCCACACGCTGCTCCGTGGGCGCTGAGCCACCGCTCACTGAGGTGATGGGTTAAAGGCGTGGTGTGCTGTGTCACAATGACAATAAAGAACTCCTGCTTAGTACAGTTCATTTAAGTCAATTATACCATCATGCAGTGTCAGAGAGAGGTCACAACATCTAATTTGGACCCAAAATGACTGCTTACTCAAACGTTTTCAACAGTACTTTGTGTACAGATTCACACACGAAAACCAATGAAAATAATTAGATCTGACGAGAAAAGATAAACACAACTGAATAAAGAATAAACCTACAAATAGGAGAGACGATTTCATTCATCCTTACCGGTGCTGAGAAGTCATGATTGTGCAGTGTGCGCTTTGCTTTCTCCCAAATTGTCGTCGGCCAACTTCTTTTCATTGATCCAAATCGGAAGCAACTTTTCCACTTCTTCTAATGTCTGAGATCTTTGCTCATCTTCTTTGCTAAACCATACCGTAAAGCCTTACGCTTTTGTGTAATCTCTTTCTTCACTTCTATTGTTGTTCTCATTATTTTTCTTTCAGCCTTTTCGCTTTCACTAGCCTTTTAGGTCCCATAGTGATTTATGGAATAATAATGAAAAAAGAAATTGCACAATGAAGAAATACCGGCAAAATCAGACAACAGTTCTTAGCGTGTACATCTCGAGCTCGGACTGAGGCTAGATTGACTGTGTCTTTTGTTCTGCAACCCAATTATGGTACGACAACCAGGGCATTTTTTGGGTAAACATTTTGTGCGTGAACCGAATTGTTTCGAAAAGGGAGGCGTTCGACAACCGAGGTGCCACTGTATTACTATTTCTCTGAACTTGTATTTCTCTGAACTTCTCTGAGTTTCCATTACTTAAATCTTGCTTTTTCAATCCCACGTTTGGCCTTTTTTTATTCAATACTCATTCTATAAAATAGGTATTTGTACAGTAGATCCTGATATTTCAAAATATTTTATTTTGTGTGGCCCTTGTGCGTTGTAGTCTTCACATTTACACAGTAAAAACATGAACTTATGATTAAATGTATTTTTTAAAAATATTTTCTGCATATTCCTTACATTGTTTTTTTCTTTTGAAATACACTTGCAGGAACAATTGTAGGACCAATAATTGTTTAAAACTTTAAATACTGTAACATTTCTGTACTTTTCCTATCTATCTATCATCTATCTATCACCCATCCATCCAATTACAGTGAGACAAGATTGTAGTTTCCTACAGTTTTTATTATAAGTAACTTATTTTACAACGTTTGAACATGAAAAGGAAAGAAAAAAAAAACAAGCTGTAGTAAACAAAAAGTATTTATATACATTGATCCTTTTGAACTATTTTTAACCAAGTATCGGAATGAATCGTGGTAGAAAATATAATCTATGACTCTTCTAACGAAACATGACACACCCCTGCCAACCCCCCCGCTCCCCTCCCCAAACATTAATCACAGCCTTTGTGTCAAATAACTAAATAAAAAGTCAACTTTTGTTCTTTTGTGTTAATGAATAAAATGTTTTAAACAAACATAAGAGTTCTACCCCGAGCAAAAATACAGTATATTCAAACAGATGCTGAGAGTTGGAAATGTTAGTAGCAGTTGGTGTGACCTGCTGAAGATATTGAAATGACCACACACATACACACACACACTTATATAAATATAAATGTATATATAAATATATATTCATATTTATATATACATATATTTATATATATTGGGGCTGTCAAAAGTAACACTTTAGTCAATTTCCGAAATTAATCCGATTAAAATTTAAAATTTTTCAAACAAATTTCAATTAATCATGATTAATCATGACTAATCATGATTGAGCCACAGCTATCCTGAAATTAATTAGATTCAATTTTTTTTCTTTCGACAGCTCGAATATATACATACTATATAAATATACATGTAAACTATATTAAACAACATCTTGATGCTTATAGTAAGGACTAATGAGTAACAACAGAGCTGTACACCAACTCAAAAACAAGCAGCTCGCGGTAGTGGCCTGGTTATTATGTTTGAAAAAAAAAAAAAAGGATACAGGATTATTAGTTGAAATTATATTTAAAATGTCACTTGATTAAAGCTGTGGTCAGATGTAAGACAACGGTGTTAGTTTAAAGGCGAGGGTTTTTTTTTTTTTAATCTCTGAATATTCTATTTTGAAAAACAGCAACATTTAAAAGGTGCAACACTACATAGTAGCGTCTCTTTACAACATGCAACTAGAGATGCAACGTCACGACTCCTGGACTGGACGTTACTTAAGATGCAGTATAAATGCTCCTGCTGGATACCATAACACGCTTACGAAAAAAAACTGCATTGAAAAAATAGTGGCTCTGATCCAGTACCGTGATACTTATCACAGTCCAGTAAGGCACATGACCTGACCTCAGTTAGCAGTTCATTTTTTTCAGGTGTGGATGTATGTTGTAATCTACCAGGTGGGGAATGTCTTGGGTTGCTGTCCATAGAGAAAGTCATCATTTCGAGTTCACAGAGACGAGCAAGACGTTGATGGATTGACTGAATGAGTGAGAAGCCAGTGTCCATTTTCACCACGGTTGGTTAGGACTTGATGATGTGAGTGTCATGAATGTTTATGCAATGTAAAGCATCCTTGCTGTCAATGAAAAACGTATCAACTAATAGCAAGTGAAAATCAGAACTATCCCTTTAACCTTTACTGTTTCCCACCTAGTGCCGCTGAAATGCGGCTTTCCAGCTAGGACGCCCAGATTCTAGGAATGTTTGTGAGAACAGTGGTAAGCAGCCGTTAACATACGGTGACGTACTATGACAAAGAAAAAAAAAATCAAATATACAGTGTATAACAAGTGTAACAAAACAAGAAAGGCAGTGGGATTTGTAGTTAAGTTGTTTTTTTTTTAAATTGAAAAAACAAAACAAAACAGAAAAAGCTTAAAAACTGAAATAGTGACAGTCCAACGAGAGGTAAGTGTTATTCGAATCTTAGAGACACTACAGGTGGAAATAGCATAAAATCTAAACTCTGCTAATTCATCTCTTATGAGACCATAAGTAAAAATCCCAAGGAGTAAAAGCTGCCCGAAAGTTATAAATACCCACCGTGGTTTTATGCTAACCAAAAACTGACCCGGAGAAATGAAGGCAGCTACTGCGATTCAAATTGTGGATGAAGCGAAATGAAGGACCAATTGCTCTGCTGCTTTTGGTGACAGTCATAAGGAAGACATGAACAATGTTTCTCAAATCGCAAACTGGAAAAAATGTCCGTTGACGTATTAAAACACATGAAAAGTAGCCTTATGTCCCTATTTAGCGCCTTTAATAAATTTAAGTTTAGAATAGCGGTCCCCAACCTTTCTTGTACCAAGGACCGGTATCAGCCATTACTACGGACTGGTAGTATCGCACCATCGTTCTGACCGTCCTTGAACTTGAAGCAAAAATAGCTTTAGAAGTACTTTGACATGACCTCTAAGTCATATCCACCATCGTTCTGACCGTCCTTGAACTTCTCTACAAGAACCCTTGAAGCAAAAATAGCTTTAGAAGAACTTTGACATGACCTCTAAGTCATATAATTGTTTTGGTATTTATTACGCAAGGTAGTTTCATTGGTAAACAACCTCTGAGGTTTGTTTGTAGATAGATCGTTGAGGTTTTGGAGTGTGTTAAGCTCTTGCAATTGCTTACTCTGTTGTCTGTCGATAGCAAAAAGTTACGTTCCACAGGTAAATCTGAAGTACGTTTTTTCAGTGTCGGCCTGGTACCAAATGACCTACGGACCGGTACCGGCCCCTGGACCGGGGGTTGGGGACCCTTGGAAATTGCGTTCTTTCGAGTCTACAGAGCCTGATGATAGTTTTAATCGACTGCTTTACACAAGACTCTCGCACTGCCTTTGGTGCTTAGGCTCAACTAGGGGGCGACATTTGGTCCTAACCAACACTGGTTTTTCTGTGCTTTTTTTTTGTGTGAACATTGTCAAAACCAGCATAGCACTTTTGGTCAATTTCTAGGGCTTGCTTAATGGCTGCATCGATTTCTTCTCCATGGGCGATAATATTGACCCACTCTACTATGAAGCTGCTCACCTGGAAGTGCTTCAGAAACACTCATCTATATTTCTCTCAAATAATACTCATTCTTAAAACATCGAACACCACATTTCCATCAAATATGACTACGTACAAGCGACTCCAGTCATAGGTTCGCTAGACCCGAGTGACCGCTGTTGTAGGCCTCAATAAATATAAGTCAAGAAGTGAGCATTTGTCTTTCTAGTCTACATAATAAATGAACCTGCCTACAGGAGGAGAGGGCAGTACAATAGCTGAGAGGCTAAGGAAGAAAGCGGATGAAAAAAAAAAAGAAGAGAAAAACTAAAGAAATTTCTTTTCAGAGAGATAAAAACAATAAATTAAAATAAATGAATTCCCTTCAACATTTAACTTTTTTTTTAAAATGCCTGCTTTTTAAATTGTTAGTTTTTCGAGAAGAACGTCCCTAAGTCTTTGCAATAAAAGACTTGGTTTTCTTCATATACTTTTTTTTTTTTTAATAATAAAAAACAAGTCCATCTGTGACAGAATTACTTCATTAAATTGTCTGCTGTATTTTCAGACAACACGTGTTTCCCTTACCGTTTTCTCCCTCTGCAAAAATAACTAGCAGATGGTCTTCAGGATAAAACAAAGTCAATCCACATCCAATGAAAATCTTGGAAACAGGCTGACATATATAAACACCGACAGGCCTGAGAGCCAGTCCACATATTTCTCTCTCTTCTTCCGCCTTATGTCCCTTTTTTTAATGCAGAGGTCTTCACGCAAACACCTGCATCTTGCCATTGGCCTCTGGGATTGAAGTAATTTGGGTTTGGGCAGAGCCAGCGACTGCCGGACTTGGCGTGGAGTCTGACCAGTCGGAGACGCAGTGGGGAGAAGGGCTGGACCAGGGCTCAGGGGATTCCGGAGACGGGGTGAGGTACGGGTGCTCGCTAGGTAAACGTAGGTAGTGCTTGGGTGTGGAATCGAGCCCAGATGTTGAATAGCTGTGCTGAGAAGGAGGGGTAGGGTAATCCTCCATCCCAGCTGTGCTGCTGCTGGGCTGGGAGGGCAGAGCCTGAGAAGACTGGCCGGCGGAGGTCGCTGCCTGTGGGGGCTGAGCAGAAAGCTGTTGCTGAGACGGCTGCTGCTGCTGCTGCTGCTGTTGCTGCTGCTGCTGCTGCTGGAAGAAAGACGGTGGAGGTTGTGAGGTCTGTGGTGTTGGCGGGGTGGACGTGCTCATGTTCTGCTGGCTGGCCATAGCGTGGTTGATGAGCTGCTGCTGCTGCTGTTGCTGCTGCTGCTCAGCGATGGACGGGACCTTAACCGGACTTATAGTGGGCGTGGAGGTAACGGGTGTGGGCTGAAGCATTTGATTGCAGAAAATCTGCTGCTGGCGCATCAGCATGTTCTGCTGCTGCTGCTGCATGGCCGGGCTCTGGGGGTGCATGCCGGCTTGACTGTTCTGCATGAGATTCACCACCTGCTGACCGCACTGAGAGGAAGGGGGCATCCGGTTGTGCCAGTCAAAAGGAACACTGACGGGACTGACCATGCCCATGTTGAGACCCAACTGGCCTGAGCTTAACACGTAACTGCGGTTGACATCGGAGGCCATCGAGACACGTCCCTGCAAGGACATGCCTCCAGTTCCCAGGTCGTTGAGCTGTGCCAGGGACACAGCAAAAGGCCCACCTCCTTCCAACAGACTGCTGTGCACCATCGGAGTGTTTGGAACCGACATGGACGAGTGGAAAAGCCCCGGGGACTGCATAGCCACAGGGGACGTGGGGTTGGTGATGTAGCCCGCATTGCTGGTTCCCCCGTGGGGTGAGTCTAGGGAGTCGACTGGGGAGAGGGTGACCGAGCTGTCCAGTAAAGCACTCTGCATGTCCAATGTCAGCTTCTTATTGCGGGCCTTGACGGACTCCTTCATATTGGCGGCGTGTTGATTTCCCAGATTGGAACCCTTAGCACCAGGCCGTCGGTTTTTCTTTCCCTGCGGAGTGGTCTTCAGACTGGGCAGAAAGGCGCTAGGAGGGCACATGAGAGGAGAAAGGGTGTGTCCCCCACTGATGTGGTGCCCACCCCCTACATGGTTCTGGGGGCTTCTGACCGTGTTGTACTCGTCGAGAAGCTGCACGATGTCGTGGTGCATGCGCTCCTGAGCGATGTCTCTCGGCAACCGATCCATGTGGTCGGTGATCTCTCGGTTGGCAAAATGTGCAAGCAGCACTTTGACCGCCTCACAGCTGCCCTCACGGGCCGCGAGGAAAAGAGGAGTCTCCTCCTGAGGGGGAAGAAAACAGAATAGAGACAACGTCAAGCTAAACATATACCGCTACAAGGTTCCTGTTGTGTTGCTGTAGCAGAGGCGATATGCGTGAATGTTAAGGGTACGTTAAAAACTGCAACTCTAGGCCTCTATGAATTGGAAAATTGTATAGTTTTACAAAACACTCCAAATCCAAAAAGGATTTCCTCATATTGAACAACAATACAAATTGGTCTTTTAAAAAATGAATCTTAAATAAATTAGGCTATGATGATTTTGATTATATTTAATCAAGCAGAATCGATAATTGCTTGTGGCTAACTGATTTTTGTATGAGCCAACTTCTGGTTACTGTAGCAATCTTCTTCTTGCTCACTAAGCTGTTAATTTATATTTGCTTTTTGTATATTTTCCAGCCAGTATTTTAGCTATTCGTTTACTTATTTTTAGGCACACTTTCAGGCACGCCTTTGTGAAACCTTTTCAGATATTTTTCAAACTTTTGCCAGCATTCTGGGCTCAATATCCAGGCAGACAGACTTGAAGCCAAACCAAAACCAAACCAAAACCGAGAACCAAAGTGAACAGTGGGCAGCTTTAAGCGAACCTGAAGCCTTCCGGACCCAAGTCCGCTTCCTTAACCACTAAGCCACCACTGCCCGCTTTACCTGACGACATGACAATTTTCCATAAGGTAATTTATTTTAGCGATATCAAGCTTGTGTTTCCCCTACTTTCAACTTCTTTAATTCTTTAAGCCAACATCTTTATACTTCATATTCATGTAATTGTTTTTGAGAGTAGTTTGGTGTACCTTTAGGTCTTGCATATCCTTGTTTGCGCCGTTCTTCAACAAAGCAATAGTGGCATCAACATTATTAACCGCCGCAGCCCAGTGTAGTGCAGATTTACCTACGGGAAATAATTCAATCGTGAGTTTACAGTTAAATTGTTACACAGCACCACAAACCTGCTTAAGGACATTTTGCATGTTCTCTCTGAGTAAAAAAAAACCCACCAATTTCATCCACTGCATTGACGTCGGCATGACAGGTGATGAGTTCCTCTACCATTCCCTCCACAGCCAGCCGTGCGGCCAGAATCAGTGCGGTGGAGCCATCGTACATACGGGAGTCGAGATCCGTGGCCCGGTTTCGGATCAAAATCTAGGAGGTGGTAAAAAAAATAATCACGTCAGACATTGATGATAGGACTATGAGCAGCAGCCAGTTTTCCTAGAGGGTACTATAGTTATTATACCTGGAAGACGCCCTGTGCATCCGCAGCGACTGCAGCATGTAGCGGCGTGCGTCCCGTGTTGTCCTGAGCATTTGCGTCCGCCCCTGCGTCCAGTAGCCTCTTAGCAGCATCTGCACGGGCATAGCGAGCAGCCAGGTGGAGTGCTGTCTCACCCGTGCGGTCGGTTTGGGCAGCAAGGGATGCGCCCTGGTAGATCAAGTCTGAAATGATGTTGGCTGAGCACTCCTCGTTCTCGTCCTCCTCCGCCACCTCCGCTTCTAATCCACCGCCACAGAACGATGCGAGCATCAGAGGAGTGAAACCATCTGAAAATGAGAGATGGGTCACCGAACGTGAGTGACTTTGAAATCTCAATAGCAAAACATTGTAGCGCCGATTTTACTGATGCACACCTGGGCCTCTGACGTTAACATCCATGCAGTCGCTTTCGAACTCTCCCTGGGGTGGAGTGAGGGCCATGGTGGGGGGCACCCGTATGTCTGCAGCAGCCAGGTGATGTTGCGTCCACTGTCTGCTGTCCACTGCGTCCTCACAATCCGAGAGCATACTCGGCTCCTCAACCTGACGCGACAAAAAACAAATTGACATTTTAACATATGTTCATTTTGATGCAGTAAAATTTGCAAATATTCATCCATATGCCAGAAGGGGTTTGTTGTATGCGCATGGAGTGGACATTTTAGATATGTGTATGCTGTACAAACTCTGGAAAATTGATCCTGGACCTCAATCTTTCTTGGAAATATTTAGCTAATAGAGACTGGAGACTACTTTGCACTATAACCCTGCTGGACCTCAATCTTTCTTGGAAATATTAGGTAATAGAGACTGAATTTAACATTTAAAGTTGCTGACCTTTAGCCTTTTTGCTTCTGGGCAGTCCAAGTCCATCCACTGATCGCTGTGATCTCCTAGAAGAGATTCTTCCACAGTTTTGGGCATGTGTCTGTAATCACAAAAAAACACTATTTTAATACCTTTGCTGCAAAATTGCATTGTTAAGTATGCAATCCAAGAAGGCAAAACTCACTTCATTCCTAGAGCATCCTGACCAACGGGTTCCCTGCGGTTCTTGTTACTACTTGGTTCCTTTTTGAGGAAGAAGCCCTCTGGGAACCAGAGAGTGCTGTGTTCCCTCTTTCTGCGAGCAATCAACATACCAATGATGATGATGACTAAGAGGAACAGTGAGGCGAGTCCCACCAGTAAGATCCACAGAGGTACCACAACAGGATCACGTGGAAGTTCACCTATGAGAAATAGAAAAGGCTAGTCAATACTAATCCTTTTGTCGTTTTTTTTTTTTAATACAATGTTAGGGTTTATGTGCCCACCATAAGCTTGCTTTAGAGGATAGGGGAAGCGGAGATTGTCCGTTGCTGAAAGTGCGCCCAGATACTCGGCAGCGGCTTCCGCTTTACGGAAACAGTGCTTGGAGTTCCGAGTGCATAACCTGTTGTCCATTTCCAAGTAAACTTTGGATCTGTTGAAAAACCCAGAAAAGTCTGCAGTTTAATAAAGTGCAAAATGCGATGGAGGTACTTGAGATTTTTCTGTCTGCTGACTGACCCGATGATCTCGTGCTGAGGTGGTAGCTCCCTCTTGAGGCGCGCTTCTTTGCGCGTAAAAGGCCGTATCATCGCTTCACCGTTTTCATCCAGTCGGAAACGTAGCGTAGGATAGCGCTGAGTTTTTGCAGGAAGGCTTTGCTCGTGCGAAGCAGTTCTTCTGGTGGCAGTAGAACGACCAAAACAAGCATACCTTCAGCAAGGTCCTCGGGAACATTGCCTGCACAGTCCAAGCCGTCCCAGCCGCACTCCTCTGAGTTGCATCCCTGGTCGCAGCGTCCATTGGCGTAGTGGTCAATACAATAGGTTTCATATATTGGACTGTGGAAAAGTTAGTAAAAGTTTAGTTTTTTTTTTACTTCAAAACCATGTAAAAAAATATTAGAAAGTATCGATAGATGAACTCACTTGCACACTTTCTCTTTGTTTGTGCATTCAAAATTGTCAAATAGACACGCTGCATTATCACAGGAGTCATCACACTGGCTGTTATTGAAGACACGCCAGCACTGAGGGTCTTCACAGTTGGCCCAGGGGTTTGCAGCCAAAGAGCAATCACCACCGTCCCAGTGACAGGGCAGTATGTTACACTCGTGGTCACAGACGCCATCGTTGGCTTTCTCGTGACAGTCGGATCGCGGGCACTCCATTGTCATGAGGTCGGTAGATCTGACGCCCTGTTCGCATCGTTTTCCCGTAAAGCCATCGGGACACTGGCAGTGAAAGAACGGGAAGCTGGTCTCTTCAGTGCACAGCCCTCCATTTCGACAGGGCTGGGCGGAGCAGCCGTCCTTACTGCGACGCTGACATTGGGGTCCGCCATAACCCGGAGGACAGGTGCAGCGAGCCCCCCTGGTGGTGAATGCACAGCTTCCTCCATTGTAGCACGACAACTCCCGACAGGACATGCTCCTTTCACAGTTCGGCCCAGTGTAACCCTAAATAGGGAAGGTTGAAGAGTTCAGTTAGGCAACTGGCCGTGAAATTTTTCTCAAAGAAGACGTTTCATAGGGACATAAAAAAGAAATATATTCTTCATACTGACACAAAATGTGGGATGATTAAAGGTCAGAGAAAAAAAGTATTTAAATGTCAGTACTGTATTTTTCGGACCCTAAGGTTCACCGGATTATAAGGCGCATTAAGCGTAACAAAACAGTCAGCGTAACAATCAAGCATGCCCGGATCCCACTCGTCATTATCCGAGTCAGTCTCGTTGCTGTTAATTAGTTGTTCAGTGATAATTCCGGCCTTCGTGAAAACTCGGACGACATTTAAGACTGATACCTTAGCCCAGGCATCCACGTTCCATTAGCAGATAGTGGCCTGGCATACCTTACCTTTCTTGGTAAGGACTTGAAGGACTTCAAGTGCACCTTATAGTCCGATACAAATAGTTTCACGTGCCCATATTGTAAGGATTTTAAACCTTTTTCAAAATTAGCCATCACCTTGGCTAATGCTAATGTTTTCTTTACCCCGTTTTTGTAATTTTAACCCAGGCAAAACTAGGGAACAACAGCTATTTATACCCCAAATTTATCTAAATATTGTCTGTATGTATGCTGTTCGGAGCAGCTCGACATACATGAATGAGTAAACATACTTACAAGTTGACATGTGCAGGTGTAACCCAACGCAGAGCTGCTGGATACAGAGCAGGCTCCTCCGTTCAGACATGGATGAGACTCACAAGCGCTAAACCTGCTCTGACACCTGCGACCTGGTAACAGAAAACAACAGCACAATCCATTTGAGAGATCTCAGCTGTCGGGACGGTATTTCTTCCAGAGGGGATGAAGTTCGAGGTTGTCTCACCTGTGAAACCGGGCTTGCAGATACACTGGTAGTCGTTCGGCAGCTGGATACAGTCGAGACTGTTGGATGGAGTGCAGGGGTTAGAGAGACATTCGTTTATGTCACCCTCGCATCTCTCGCCAGTGAATCCCGGAGGACAGTTGCAGCGATATCCGCCCACTCTGTCCACGCAAGTGCCGTTGTTGAGACACTTCGGAGGGACGCCGCGGAGTCTCAGGGGTGGAGCGCAGTCGTCTGTGTTGATCTCACAGAGGACACCTAAAAAAAACAAACAAGAAAGGAACAAGGTTTAAATATATGTAGAACATTTATGCATTGTTTGATTCGCAAGATTCCATCACGGGTACAGAACATAGCAGAAGGTCTTGACAAATTAGAAAGCTGCATGTACTGGCATACCTAGAGTTCCAGGCGGGCAGGAGCAGATGTAGTGTCCCACCAGGTCAATGCAGGTACCACCGTTTTGACACGGATGAGACTGACATTCGTTAATTTCTATCTCGCAGTTTTGCCCTGTATACCCTGGCATGCACTGCAAAGAGAAGAGCACAGGTTGATGTCAACGTGTCGATCTCGATGCAGCGGTAGAATAACAGGAAGAGGATCATTGAGGGGAATAAGAAGTGGGCTCACATCACACTGGTATCCTCCAACATAACCTCTGCAGGTGGCGCCATTGCGACACGGTTTGTCTTCACAGTGGTCCACCTGGCTTTCACAATAACTTCCGGTGTAATCAGCAGGGCATTTACAATAGTGCGTATTTCCGGTGTTTACACAGTGACCAGCGTGGTGACACAGCTCATCAGTCTGTAGTCCTGTTCGGGAGAGAAATGTAACTTAGTTTTGTGTTGATTTAAAAAAAAAAAAGGGCCACGTTTATTTGAATCGTTGATACGAAACGATCGTCGCACCTCTCTGGCGAGCTGCTGTCTCACAAGACACCCTCGGAATATCACAGTAGCGTCCAGACCAGCCATTAGGACATTCACAGATGAAAGAAGCATCCTTTTGTCGACATCGTCCTCCATTTTGACAAGGCATAGACCGCCGGCACCAGTCAACTGGGGTCTGTGCAGGCAACATAAAGATGAATGGGTCTTTATCTTTATCGTTAGTCGTTAGCACTCAAGGAGTACTAGTTTAATAACAGAAGCTAGCTGTGGAGGTGTAGCCAAAAACTATTATTTCTATGAAAATAAAAGCAGGGGAAATCCCCCGAAAACAGTTCAAGTTAAATTGGAATGTTTCCTCTGTGCTCTTCACTGGTAGCTATGTTGTTTTTTAAAGCTCTGTGCTCTTCACTGGTAGCTATGTTTTTTTTTTTTAATGTTATTGAGGGTTGACAAGTTTGTGTATACCTGGCAGCGATTGCCTGCGTAGCCTTTAGGGCAGGAGCACCGGAAGGATTCCAGGGCATCTTGGCAGATTCCACCATTGAGGCACGGCTGTGAATCACACTCATTGACCTCGTACTGACAGTGCGAGCCAGTGAAGCCTGAGCGGCAGGTGCACATGTAGCCATCGATTTTATCAGTGCATGTTCCACCGTTGAAGCAGGAGCTGTGGAAAATATTGACATTAAGTTAGGAACAATAGTTTGAACACATTACAGCCTTTTATTAGCTTTTGACTGCTGTCAATCAAGACGCTCAGCTATGTTTTTATGCTTCAATTTTATTTGATCTCAATTTATATTCATGAAAGTGAAGTAATGCAGTTGTTTAGGATTGTGTGTGGTGTTGTTATTCATAATTTTATAAAGAATAATAATGAGTCAAGTCATCAATTTCAGATGACTCCATTTGAGTTCCAGGCGACCCCATGTGGGGTTGTGACCCCAAGGTTGAAAAACACTGCATTACAGTCTCATCCAATATGTATATATCTCAAATATGGAGTCGGGCCAAAGTAATTTCTTTGCTATTTTGAACTGAGTAAAATGTTTTTAAATGTACGCACAATGTTTCTTGCTTAGTTCTTGCTTGACAACTTAAGCCCAACTAGTTACTAGTTAGCCTGCTAGAGGAAGAACCTCCAAGAATGTTAACTGTATATTCCAGTCTTCTTTTAGCTCTCCCGCTTTCAGGATGTTGTGTTTTGTCATCAGCATATTCTCTCAAACTCACCTTTCAGTACAGTCGGGAATATTGGTCTCACAGTAGATGCCAGTAAAGCCAGGGCTGCATGTGCAGGTGTAGGAGTTGACATAATCTGTGCAAGTGCCTCCGTTTTTGCAGGGGTTACTCTGGCACTCATTGATTTCTAAAGCACAACGGTTCCCAGTGAAGCCTGGCAAACAGTTGCAGTGGTAGAAATTAATGCTGTCAGTGCAGGAACCTCCGTTTAGGCATGGATCTGTTGAAGGAAACAAACATGGTAGGACTTTTGTTTAAGCACAGCGGGCTTAAGACACACAGTTAAGCTTGATTTCTACACTGTTGATGACGATTCATTATTTAATGGGTCAAGTCACGTTTTTATTTATATTTGGCTAAATTAGCTTATTAGCACGACTCTTAGCTTGCTGCCCAGACAATGCCACGGCCCAGCTGCCTCGCAAATTGAAATATTATTGAGAACCTGATAACATGTATATTTTTATCTGTACAAACCACTGTATGAGTTGCTGCCACCTAGTGACTGGAGGCTTGTTATCATTCAAGCATTACGGCAGTAGGGAAACACTTATGTCCAGCGTGCCATGTAGCATCTGGGCAACATCTCTGCCAACTTCCACCAAATGTGGTACTCTAGTGCATCAGTGGTGTCCTGGAATAATTTGGTATATTATAGGTCACCGGGTGAGGCTGTGCAACGTAATGTGACCTTACTTGGAGCGCAGTCATTGATGTCTGCTTCACAAGTCAGTCCTGTATATCCAGCTCTGCAGGAGCATACAAAGCCGCCGATCGTGTTGGTGCACGTTCCGCGGTTCTTGCAAGGATTCGTGATACACTCATTCACGTCGACATTGCACAATTGACCTGCAAATTAAAAAAAAAACATTGTTATTGATCATGCCATTTGTTTGTATTAGTTAACCCCAAAGCCTGACTTTGAACTAAGACATTGTGCTAACCTTGCCACCCTGGCTGGCATTTACACTGGTATCCCATGTAGTCAGCAGTATGGGTGCATTCAGCATGATTATCACAGGGGTTAGGAGAACAAGGAGTAAGAACTTCAGCACAAGTGGGTCCGCTGTAAGGGAGCTCGCAACGACAGGTGAAGCTAGCCACGCCATCTACGCACGTGCCTTTGTTCAGACATGGGCTGGAGGCACATTCATTGATGTTTATTTGGCAGAGGTTACCTGTAGACGTGAACAGATTAAGATGAAGTTACAGTTACCCAATGTACTTCTGGCCAGGCTTCAACAATTTCTGTTTCCCTTTTCAGAAAATCAAACAACATGTTCTGCCATTTTCTTGCGTTCTATGCTGCCATCTTACCCCGAAAACCCTGACGACATTTGCAGGTGAATGTATTGAGCCGGTCCACGCATGTACCAGCGTTCTGACAGGGACTTGGTAAACAGTCGTTTCTATCCAGGTCACAGTTCTTTCCCACCCACCCAGGCTCGCAGTCACAGCGGTAACTGGAAAACAGGAACAGCCAGTCATCAAACAGACGCCGAAGTGCATAGAACAACAAAAATGACATCTAATTTTGTCCACTTTTTTCTACCTTAATACAGCATACCTTAATATAGATATATCCATATATATATATTTACATACATATATTTATGTTTTGAGATTATTTTTTTAACTTTCAAACTTTATTTAAACTACTAACAGTTGTTAAAATGCAAAGAAGTTGTAAACAATTTTTTTTTAGTATAATTGAAGACTGTTTACCATCAGTCATCAAAATTTCATAAAGTAAATAAAATACATTCAAGAATGTAGCATACCCATTGATGCTGTCCCTGCATGAACCGTGGACACATGGGCTGCTGCCACACTCGTCCACCTGGGAGTAACAGTATGGAGGTTTGAAGCCCTCAGGACATTGGCAGTGAAATCCATTCTCTTCATCCACACACGTGCCTCCATTCCTACAGGGGCTAGACGCGCACTCATCTATTTCCACATTACACTTTGCACCTGGCAAGGAAGAAGTCATACAAAATTAAACAATGTTTTTTTTTTTTTTAAATCTGTTTTTTTTTTTGCTACCTTATTTTACAGTCTTACCAGTAAAGCCAGGTTTGCACACACAGTCAAAGCGGTTGATGCCATCTTTGCAGATGCCATAGTCACACGGGTTACTGGCACAGTCGTCGTAGTTTATCTCACAGTTGGCGCCTGGGGTGTGAACCATAATTAAATGTTTAGAAATCATTCAATCAGTGATGAGTGAATCATCTAATTATGTTTCTAGTTGTGTCCTGTTACCCAAGGTTCCATGTTGGCACTGGCAGATGTACTTGTTAACCAGGTCCACACATTTGCCACCGTTCTGACACGGATTGCTGTGGCACTCGTTGAGCTGGTTCTCGCAACGGTAGCCTGTGTAGCCAGGGTCACAGTTGCATGTGTAGCTTGCGATGCCGTCTATGCACGTGCCGTGGTGACACGGGTCAGGCTGACAATTGTTGATGTTGCTCTCACAGAGAGTTCCTTCATAGCCTAAGAAAAAAATGTAGGAAATGTAGTTAATATTAAAAAGCACTGAGGGTTTTTTTTTCAAAATGGTAATGTATTCAAAATATAAAAATGTCAATCATAAGTTGTTTTTGAGGTCCCAAATTTATTTGGAATTTTTTTCTGTCAATTTCACATCATGTACTGTAGAGGGCACAATTGCCTCAGTTTTGAACTTCAGACTGTCTGTTTGCAGATTAACAACTTTAGATCAACGTTAGATCAACGACAACAAATCTTTCAGGGAAATGAGGGGAATTAGAAAATTATCTCTGTAAACTCTGTTTACGTGAAAAAATTGCGAAGATTCTCAGGGAAATGAGGGGAATTAGAAAATTTTTCTCGTGAAAAAATTGCGCCAATGTTTGTTGGGATGCGAGTATGTATGGTAGTTAGCTCCCACTGCCTTCCATGTATGTAACGATACAGGGAGGGACAGGTCAGACAACCACGGGCTTCCCTTACCTTCAGCACAGCGGCACTCAAATCCGTTGGGCCTGTCGTAGCATTTGGCTCCGTTCTGGCAGGGTGTGCTCGCACACTCGTCAATGTCGATCTGACACGTGGTGCCGGTAAAGCCTGGGACATGCAAACACAAAGGTGAAGGGGTCAGAAAGAACGTGAGCAGCGAAGGTCGGTGATCGTGTCAGAGGGCAGCGGGGCAAGGAAGGAGGTCACCGGTCACCAATGCATTACTAAGGACGGGGGGTGGGGGTGGGGGGTCTGTATTGGTTAAAGGATGTGTCATCTGTGCACTTGGACCAGTGCTGAGATGACCAGTGATTTCCACACTGTTATTTCCTGATCACAAAGGTTACACTGTATTTTTCCCTTGTTGAACTTCCATAATCTCTAACCGCAATCCGCAAAGTCAAAAATTTTGACTTTGAATTTTTACCACATTTGTGCTGTTATTATATAGGCTACCTCATCTTTACTGTGTTCTATGCATTCATCATAATACGTTTTAAAGTTTTAAATCATTTGAGAAAATATTTTGCAGATGATTCGGATTCAGTTGTTTGGCAGGTTGTGCTTCCTACTGTGTTATCGCGATATCTGTTAAATGCGTGGCTTAAGAGTTTCCCTTAAGCTAAGTGGGCACGGTGCACAGCTCACGGCGAGGTTTACACACCATTTTAAGTTGATTAACAGTGTCATGACAGCATGTGTTGGTTTGTAAATGGACGGGGAGGGAGGAGATGGGGCCAGTTGGAGGAGACAGTGGGATTGTTCTCTCTTTTGGGGATCCCCCCTTACTCTCTACCCTCCTTTGCATCCCCCTTCTTCCTGCATCAGCTACGCAGGCTCAATAGCTAGATGGGGGCGGGGGGGTGGAGATGGTGGGAGGTGGGGTGCGTCTGTCCCAGATGTAAATTGCGGAGCAAAAAAGAATCTCATTAACCAGGGCTGCTGCTGCTGTCCACCCCACACCCCCATCACCAGCAACAGGGGTTAGGACGAGGGAGACTGCTGTCCTGTCCACATTCCACAGCACGGGGGGCAAGGTCACAATGGTCTCTTTGTTCACCCAAAAGGACGGCCATTTTTATTTTTTTTCCTAAAAGTGGTGGCTCTAAACACCAGTCAAAAGTAGAGGGACTTTTAAATGATCTGTTCATACGTAAAAACGATGGTGGGGTTGTCTTACCTGGCTGACAGGTACATGTGAAGCCGTTGACAATGTCGCGACATATGCCGTCGTTCACACAGGGGTTGCTCTCGCAGTTGTCTATGTCGATCTCGCAGAATGTTCCCATGTAGCCTGGTGAGGTTTCACACAAACAAGTTTAGGAGAGGCTAAACATGATTTAGCAGATTACAATAATTCATGACATGGCTTTGATGAAACCTTAGGCAGTCTCATAGATGAATGATGTAATCCATTTTTTCTTCACATTATTGCCACAAAATACTAATATATAAAATTAGAGAACCAATAAAGCAACTTTACTTTTAGCTATTTTTCTTATTTTGCCTTATCTTGTTATTTTATTTTGTAGCTTGATTGTTCCTCAAACTGTAAGTCGCTTTGGATGAATGCGTCTGCTAAATGTAATGTAATAATAATAATAATAATATATGATTTCAACAATATTTTAGGTATTAATCTACCTAAATCTTCTAATTGTAGTCATTTTTATGTTACTGACTATCTACTGTCTTATCTTTCTGGCATGTTTTATTTAACTTATATATTTATTCATATCTCATTTTTTAAATTTTTTTTTATAATTTTGTCATAGCTAGTTATCTAACCTTCTGCTGTGTTTGCAATAACTTTGCTTTGTTGGGCTCTTCCTGTACATTATACCCATCTCTAGTCTCCTGAAATTTCACAGCAAACATTTAACAGTTTCATGGCATTTTGACCAACTTTTAAGAAGGAAAATATCTTTTTAAAAGATGTGCCATGACTTCCAACCCAATAGATCTTAGAAACGGGCCCAAACTTCACAACATTTTAGTGCAGTAGACATCACTGCAAACACAAAGCAGCAAAGCCATTACAGCCTGCAGTCACTGTAAGCACACTGTTGTCAGGTTTTGTTAAAGATAAGGACTTTCGGTGCTAGCATTGATAAGGAAATAATCAGCCAATAGGTGTGAACTTTGCCAAGGCTGGCTTGCTGAGGATGAGGAGGGTGGCGTGTAAGGGCCCTGTCTCTGGAAAAGAAGGAGGAGGGGAAGAAGGAGGAGGAGGTGGAGGAGGAGGTTGGTTAATGGGCTCTGGGAAAAGGCCTCTTACCCTCACAGTGTGTATGTGGGATGCAAAGTGGAACACAGAGGGGCTCTATTGTTCTGTTCCATTCCCACCACTCTCAAGCTTATTAGTATTCACAGCATACTCCTCCCCCTTACCGCTTGCCCTCTCTCACATCCCTGGGCCTATACACCCCAAAAAACTTCCAGCTCTAATTTGTAAAGTTTCCAAAAAAAAACCCCGGAATGCATGTAGGTCTGTGTGTGAGAGTTTCACTGTGTTTTTGTTACTTATTTTTGCAGACAATCGTTAAGACTACCCCATCTTTCCGTCTGCTCTGTCTGTCTGCTCTGTCTGCGTGTCTGGCCAGCAGTCAAAAGAATCAAATGAAGAAAGTGACCGCACATCCCAAATTTTATAAAAGACATATTACGTAACGGTAGTCAGTGGCTGTCTGCAATGGAGCTTCTGGTAATAAAGCTGGGGGGTCACAAAATGTACCACTGGTCGGTCCGTTTGAGCACCGTATGACTATAAGTAGAGGCGCCAACGAGACTGAAAAAGAAGGGCTATGAGAAGGTCAAGTCTCATCTTTTTCGTTGGAAAGCATTGCTCTGTCTAAAACGGCTCTAATATCACTCCTCATTTTTCATATTTATACTTCAGCCCAGGTGAGACAAACAACCATTAACTGCATTGGGGGGTCAGTGGGGGATGGGCAGGGACTAAGGAGGGCGGGGTCAGTCATCAATGCGCTAGTCTTTTCAAAGAGCGGTCATCAAACGTAAGCTGATCAGGTTACCTGGCATGCAGATACAGGTAAATTCTCCGATGCGATCCAGACACGTAGCATCATTTTGACAGGGCATGGACAGACATTCATTTATGTCAATCTCGCAGCGTGGACCCGCATATCCGCGACCACACTGACACTGGAATGAACCCTCTGTGTTCACACATTTGCCGAAGTGTTCGCACGGATTGGCACCTATGAAAGATTGTCGACATTGAAAACCAGTGTTATAACGAGGACAATACTGATAACGTTTATTAATTTGATTGCATTTTTACTCATTTCAATCACTGAGGGCACTTACCAATCGAACACTCGTCCATGTCCTGGTTGCAAGCACCTCCCACATACCCAGCAGGACAGGTGCAAATGGCGCGGCCATTGAGCGGATTGGTGTCACACACGGCACCCTCGTTGCACGGGTTGCTCACACAAGCATCATCCAGATGGCATAGCAAACCTGTTAAAGAAGCAACCACGTCACCCTGAAGACATTGATCGAGTTATAAGCAAAATACACGCATGTTGTTGCTCGGATAATTTACCGGTCTTTCCGACAGTGCACTCGCAGAAAAAAGATGCTACGCGATCGTGGCAAGTGGCGCCGTTGAAGCAAACTGTTGTGGCGCAATCGTCAATGTTCTCACTGCAGTCATCGCCGGTCCAACCATTGACACAAACGCAGGTGTGGCCACCAATGGTGTTGAAACAAGTGCCACCATTATGGCAGGCATTTGGTTGCATGAGACACTCGTTGACGTCCTCAGCACAAAATTGGCCTTGCGTGAAAAAAAAACAACCCAAAAAACAAATTAATTTGTTTGTTTAAGGACGGTATAGGACAAATAAATGAAATTATATTTATAGAGGTTTAAAAGGAATCATCACTTAAACGTTAAAAAAACAATACTTATATCTACCTGTCCATTCTGGGGGACATTGACAATTGTAGGTATTGACTCCATCCACACATATTCCTCCATTCATACACTTATGACCAGGACAGTCGTCCACATTGTTCTCACAGTTGTGTCCCTCAAACCCTGAGAGAGACAAAAAAAAGGGGAGAAACATTTAAAATATTGCTCCAGATACAGAACATATAGCATTTTTGTTTCATGTTTCCCACACTCAGCAGTGTCAGGGCAGTAAAAGGTTCAGTGGGAGTATGACTGTTTACATCTTCACATAACTGTTCCCATACGGTTCCCCGACTGCCACAGCAGCTGGCCTCGGAGGTCTGCACTCCCCACAGTGTTTGCTAGTTTTATAATCTCTCACAGTTTCAATGACTTCCTCTCTGGCAAGAGACATTTCCTGCCAGTTCCCTGGTGGGAAACTAGGAGGCCCATAAAGTAAATTTCAGTTGTGAACACAGTGAAGTGGAGATGAGTGCAGGCGGCCCCTTTACACTCGCCCACCATTCAAACCCCCCATTAGTTACTAATAATATGAGACAGGAAGCTGACGCTAGGGACAGTGGTATAAATCACAGCTACAATCTAAACAGCTAGCTGAGTTATCAGGCTGAGAAAATCCTTCACCAGTGACCTGGCAGCGTGAGAAAACAGTAGGTCTCTTTTTTTTATTTCATGCAGACCTCATGCAATAAATGTTGAACTCCTGTAGAACTCTGTAGCTAATTCTTAACAATCCCTGGAAAGCATGAGACTAAAAAGTGGATAAGATTTTTTTTAAATGTTTGCTGAAATTATTTTAAAAGTAAGAAAAAAAATACACTAAAAGATAACTGCCTGTTTGACAACAAAAAAGGATTACTAAAATCGCTAAAGTTAGCCAATTGAATAAGAAGCTAACTAAAAGCTAACTAATAGCAAGACAAAATATTCCCTAGGCTAGAGAAACGCATTCTGTATAATTCATGTGTATGCCCTAAAATATCTTATATAAAATATATTTAATATATTATATTTGTTTTATATTTGCTAAAACAAATTTAACAAAATAATTTACCATAAATAGCTATAAAAAAAAGCTAAAATCAAACCAAAGATACACACAAGATTACTTAAACCTCTCCCAGCAATTAATGATACTTAATGATAAATATACATTTGAGAAATAACGTGTGCTGACATGAGGGCATTATTCTATTTTGCTACTCTACCTGGTAGGCAAGCACACTCATAGGAATGCTCGCCAGTCTGTCGACAGGTTCCACCATTAAGGCATTCGGACGGGGCACAGGGCAGTGTGGACACCTCACATGTTCGACCGCTGTATCCTTGTTGGCATTGACAGCGGAAAGACCCTTGGGTGTTGAGGCAGAGACCGCCGTTGAGACACATGCCAGGTTTTCGGCACTCGTCAATATCGTTGCGACAGTTCTTTCCCTGGTAGCCAGGCGGGCAGGAACAGTTGTAATGGTCGTTCACACTGGTACAGCGAGCCCCGTTGGCACATGGACTTGTGGCACAGGCGTCGATGTTACCGCAGTCTTGTCCTGGAATTTAATAAGGATTTATGGTCAGTTCCTGATTCGGTTGCTCTGTCACAGTTCTTGTCTCGGTTGCTCTGTTGCATCCCTTCTAATTCTAACTATGTGTGGACGGTGTGCTGTACCTCTGAAGCCTCTCTGGCAGACACAGGAGTATTGTGGGATTCCGTTCATCACCTGGCTCTTGCATGCACCTCCATTTAGGCATGGAGATCGATGACAGGGATCCAGGTGCTGACAGAGGGGACCAATGAAGCCTGGGCGACATCTGGGGGTAGGGGGTATTCACACAGAAATTAGGACGTCTACAATACTAACACAGATTAAGACAGCAAATTTATCAAAAATAAAACGAAAGAACCGTGACAACCCAAGTGATACTTACCCTACTTCTTTAACCTGGCCAATGTCTTGGCACAAATTTGTCTGTGCTGGGATTACTTTTTTTAAGCAAAGAGTTTTCCGATGCGTGACACGCACACAAACAGTACAATCACAAACAAAAACAACAAGTAGATGGAGACTGATCTTTAGGGTCTTATAATGTTTCCAGGCTGGAAAGGCCCATCCTTTTCTTTGCCCCACTACTCTGTTTTCCACACAACATCTCCGGTTTCTGCTCTTTAAAGAACACACCTAGTAAAAATGCATGCTCTGCCAACAGTTGTGCACATGGAAGGAATAAGAACTAAAAGAAAAGAGCGTGCATAGAGCCATGTCCTCAAACATGCTGCTGCCCTCAGAACTTGAGATAAAAAAATGAATAATTGTATGTTACACAAGATCATTTCTATATGTTGTGACAGCTTTGGCTGATCTTAACGTTTGGCTCATTGTCATAGAGAACATTACGTCTGGAATTTGGGGGGTTTTGAATATTGTAGTGATGGGATGGCTCTTGGGATGTCATATTTTCAAACGTTTTATCCTATAAATGGATCAAGAAGTAGTCCAAGTAGTTTTGTGAGAAAATAAGACATCTGATAGTGGAAATACTGTGGGGTGTTTTTTTAAATATAAAGTTAATGTTACTGCATGTTGCTGGCGTGGTTGCTGCTTTTCAAGTACTCTATGTCTGAAACTATGGCTGTGTCCTGTAGAAAATTACTGAACAACGCATAATTCAGTCGCAAACCATAACCCTATGAATAATGTGTTCCGTTAAGCCGATCAACTGTTAACTTAAAGAAAGCATTAAGTGACATGGAACTACAGAAAACAAAACACCTATGGCTGCAATATATATATACAAACTAAGCCTAATGTAAGTTAGCTGACGCAGCTTTTCTAATTATCCAAATGTAGTCTTTCAAAATAAGACCTTTTTGGGGCCATTTCTAGTGAGGTACTGGGCTAGTGTACGACCACTATTCATCATTTGACGCTCCAGGGTCAATTCATGTCTGATTTCAGATAGTGGTTTCATGTTTGGTTTTACTTGGCCTCATTATATTTGATAGAATTTTTAGCAGTGTATGTTTGTTGCCCTTAGGCACGCTTGAATTTTCTCCCTGTTGGATTGGCCCTTGATTACTTCTTAAAATCGGTTTTACTTGCTGCTTTTATTCTGCTTACTTGACACTTGTGCTACATGTGGCCACTGCTCGTGCTTGATCCTAACCTTAACCTGCTCTTCAGTCCTCTTGCGAGCGTTTATCCTGCCTAAGGAGGTCAGAATAAACCAGTATCTCTACACCCACAGAAGAGCCCCTGGCTGGGCACAAGGCCTTTTCTTTCCACAGGTTGTTTGATCCTGATGAGAGGGCTGTGATGACTTAAGTTCTGGTTTCCCTCTGGGCACCGCATTCTCCTTTTTTTTTTTTTCTAGAGGAACCCCTGGGCAGAACATAACAATGGGATTCCGTGTGTTCTGCTTTACACGAGCATTACACACTGGTGTCAGTTCATCTATACTTTTCTTGATATGTCCTCCCCTTAAAACAATGGAAACACCAAGACAAAGGCTGGGACTTCTCTGCCTGAGGCCGCACCGGGTCGTCAAGTTCTAACAACTAGTCGGCACTGGTCCCAAAAAAATAGGAGACTGCTCTGTTTTGTTTGACTTTTTCCCATTAAGGAGTCAAAGGGAAATACGCCAAGTGGTCAGACATACAGGCATTGTTCCATAATAATGTGCAAACACAAAGCGACAGTGCACAGAAAAATATAATGTAAGCTCCGAAATGGTAGTTTGTCGGTAGATAATACTTGTTTTAAAAAGTTAGAAATGACATGAAATTCTCATGGCAGCACTGCAGGTTTGGTTTGTAAGCTGGCAGTGTGGGAGAGAGACACTTCTAAAAACCCCTCCTCCTCCTCTGTCCTCTTAAACCCCCCGCCCCCTTATGTGCTCAGAGGTCAGACATCAGAGGTCCCGTCTGATTGTGATGATAATGTCATGGCTGCAGGGCTTGGGGTGGGGCTGCAATGCCAGCTGGCGGAGGAGGGGTGGGATTGGAGCTGAGACAGTGAGAGAGAAAGAGAGAGTGAGGGGTGCAGAGAGGGAGAGACAGAAAGAGAGAGAAATTGACGTCCGTTCCAGGCCAGGAATGTCATGTCATATTTCCTGTAATCCTTTATTTCAGCTCTGGAAATAACAGACTCACTTTGCGGGATCTCCCATTACCATGGCAACCCCAAAACTGACCCCAAAAAAGACTGATACCCAACTGATTTACACCCTTTATTGGGTCTCCATGACTATCCGTCGCACTTTGTCTGGATTAATCTAAGGAGTCGTTGTAACTTTGTCTATAATCTGTATTGCTAAGAGTAACTAAACCCAATCAGCAAGAGACGTGGTTTTAAAAGACCTGAGTATTGCTAAGAGTAACTAAACCCAATCGGCAAAGCAGAGACGTGGATTTAAAAGACCTGGAAAATATGAAATGTGATGCGCAGTGACAGTTCAGAATTGAGGGCATTGGTCTACGGGCAAAATCCGAAAAGAGAGCTTGAGAGAGCTAGCGTGTTGTTTTCTGGAGGCCCGTGGAAAGGAGAATTCATGCTGATATTTTATGTATTTTTATGTGTCCGGGATAAATGTGAACAAAGAAGTCAGAACAAGGTGTGTCCTTGTCTGTGTGTACTTAGGTGTGACCAACAGCATTAAAAGTAATATCTGATAAATGCGTTTTTTCCACATTTGCAAGTTCTCGGGAGGACGTAGAATCCAAAACACATTCTTTTGTGTGTGGACCTGACTCTAAGCCAAACTGGCTCTAATAACACACTGTGTGAGAGGTTGTCCGAGCATATATGTGAGAGAGAGAGCTTTACAACATTGAGTATTCCCTCTGGGAACAAGGAGGCAGAGTAAGCTTAGTAGAGCAGGACCTGGTCTTATTAGTGGCGGATGTACAAAGCAGGTGCAGACTGCTGTTGTGAAACACGCCTCTGAGTCATATATAGTAAGCCTTGACTTATGACCTTAAAGGAAAAAGAGTGCAGCCAATGCGGAGGTTGATCGGCCACAGCAACAGCATTGTCAGTTGAATGGCGCAGCATTAATCTCTTGGTGTCAACACGTATGACGATTCTGCCAGCTGCTGCCCTCGTCTCCATTGTGCATCTGTTCACATCTGTCAGGGCATATCATGGCATTCAGCATAGCCAAAACAACTGGCTGTGTTTTAGCTGCCAGTGGAACTAATCTTGCAGGAACAGCAATAACCAGCACTGCATTTCTTATTACTCAAGAGATACGGTTATCCTTCACAAAAAAAAAAACATGCAATTGCACTCTTCTTACAGACTGTTATTTAAACAACCAAACCACCACTGCAACAAAGCAAACACCATGCAAACAAGACTGCAAACCCAGACAGGAAAATGGAAGAACTTACAACCGGCCTTAGCATCTGAAGGGAGGGTTGACTGAAAAGCCATAAAAAGATAAGATCAACTAAGTAATTAAAACACGACAGATTGCATTTTATTCAGTGAAACAAGTTTATGCTGTATAACTCTGAATTCCAGCAGTGCCCTACGGTTCACGGATCTTCTTACTACTTAATTTTGTGTAGGGTCTGTCACCTGCACTTGTGTAACCCAACACCAGATTTCCTGCTTTCTGGGTCATTGGAGTAGAGTAATCTGAGCTCATCCTCTGCCCACACAATAGTCTCTTCTCTGCCAGAGGTCAGAGGGTGACTCACCTGTGAACAAAGAGGCTGTAATCTCTGACATGCTTCATACACACAGTCATGCTCCACAAAGCAACAAGTACAAAAGGAGTTCTCTGATCTCTTGAGGGCATTTCCTGAGATAAACAAAAGGGGAAAAAAAACAACAACAAAAGGGGCCGCCATCTTGGATAAAACTGGTTTTGCGTCAAGATATTGATACATATTTTTATTTTGAATTTTTGAATAATGAATTTATATATCTAAATTTGCTGTACAAGTGACAGAATATATGTTTGTTCGGACTACGTTGTGAGACAAAGAGAAAGGAGATTCTAAGTCTGGAATCAACAGCAATGTGTGTTGTTTTATTTTGAAAAGACAAAGCTAATGTTTGACAAATTCACTAAAAGCAACACAGACTTACATAGGTTGTCTGGAAAAGTACAAATTCTGAAATAATTTGTACTGTTTATTCTAACTAAAAAGAAATCTTCCTTCCAATGTAACACCACCCAAAGCAACAAGTACAAAGCATTCTTAAACTCTCAGAAGACATTGTCTGAAGCCAACAACTGGAGTTGCCAATTTTTTTTTCTGGTTTTTGTGAGATGAATTAAAGACATTAAAGACAAGATGGTGGGCCATCCTCAAAAGTGGGCCACGGATCACACGAATATGCTTGTTTTCCTGTTGTGTTGCAAGTGGCAGGGCTGTCTCTAGATTTACATATATTAACCAGCGGCAAACAGACCTTGTATGTAGCAGTAATGCAACTCCAACAATACGGAGCTGCCGCCACTAATGTCCAAAGAAGAAGAACATAGGCAGAGATTGGTCTGAGGTCTCCAGACTGTGCATCACTGCACCTCTGCACGTCACCAGAGCAAGTGCCAAATTTTGTTTGGCGATGAGACACTCCTAGCCTGTATGTCATGCTGACACAGATTATTTTTCGAATACTGGCCATTCATGCATTAGAGACTTTGAGCAATGCCGTAGGAAAATTTACCAAAGATTAAAGGAAAAATATGTTTGTTTGTTTTGGACAAGATCTGTCTTGTGAGTGTGCACACTCCACCCAACATAGAACTGTACAAGGAGACTAAGCAGAGTCCTAAGCAGAATAGTAAGAATCTCATTT